GTAGTCGACACACATACGAACTTTTCCATCTTTTTTTGGTACTGGAACAACATTCGCTACCCATTCCGGATACTTGGCTACTTTTAGGAACCCAGCATCGAATTGCTTCTTACTTCTTCTTTAATTTTAAGCAGCATTTCAGGTCGCATCCTTCTGAGCTTTTGTTGTACCGGTTTACATTCAGGCTTTATTGGCAATTTATGTACCACTAACTCAGTGTCTAAACCTGGCATGTCTCATACGACCAAGCAAACACATCTTTGTAGTCTTGGAGCAGCATAATCAGACTTTTTCGTCCCTCAGTAGATATGATGGTGCCAATTTTTATCTCCTTTTTATCTTCCTCTGATCCCAGATTCAAGATCTCAATGGGCTCTTCATGAGGCAGAATTTGTTTATCTTCTCTCTACCATTTTTAGTAGTTAGAAGGTAAGTCACTTCCCTCATCACTATCATAACCTTCAAACTTCCCCTTGACATATGGGCAGCTCGAAATCTATCTTCGGGTCAAAGTCATCAGCATTCATACTATTGATACCGGAGGTCCTGAAGAATAACGAACGAGAGGATATATATACATATACAATACGGGAGGATCTAACCCATATCAAAATAGAATGAAATAATAATATATAATAAAGAAATAAATAAAAAAAATGCAATAGATGATGTTTGCCATTTCGTGAATTAACAGGAATGCATCATTATTAAAAAACAGATAGATTAACCCCTTACAGAAGATATATTGTCTCAAGTTTAGACAATAGGGAAAGTTTTTGTGCATTACTCTGAAATAGTTTTGTAAACTACAGGTAATTCTTCTGCAGTCCAATTGTTAGCACAAAGCCTGGTGGTACAGGGTAATGTCCATAGCCACTCCATCTTCGATTCCTTCCTCTGATATCACATTTATACCCAATCCTCAGGGCATTTTCAATAATAGGCTCTTTAGATGATCGGTCCCCCTGAACATGTGGCCCCTGATATGAAGGTCACGCAGCGATGGGAAAATCATAGGCTCCCACTTAATATCTCTCTGGCTAACCTGGCTCTCCTCTTTTCCTGGCTCTTTGAAACATTTTTCAATTTTTCCTTTAAGGTCGGGTGATATCCTAGACCAAAACGATCTAGCTTAAAACCGGGAAAAAACTGGACTAATATTCCCCTGTAAGCGACTCCCTACCTTCCAACCTTGGCTCCTCTTCCTAGGGTCATTTCAGTCCCATTTTGGTATAATTTGATAGCCTAGGCTTTGGAATTTTCTTTCTTTCAGCAACAAATGTGGCATTAATAAATTCCAGGGCTCTGAAAGAGCACTCGACTGCATCTTCATCTACTTCAACATATGGAGCGGTAGTAGATATGGAAGCAATGATATCTTCCTCGGCATTAAGGCATACCAATCTCCCTCAATTACAAATTTGAGTTTCTGATGCAGAGTAGATGGAACGACTCCTGCCTGGTGGATCCAAGGCCTTCCTAACAAGCAGTTATATGAGGGCATTATCCATTACAAGAAATTCAACTCGTATGTTGATGGGCCTATGGTTAAAGGAATATCAATCTTCCCCAGCACCTCCTTCTTTGTTCCGTCGAAAGCTCGAACGATGCTTTGGCAATTTCTCATGTGTGTACTATCGACTGGTAATTTCTTCAAGGTTACTAATGGCATTACATTCAGGGCAGAGCCATTGTCAATTAGTACTCGCGATAACACATGTCCCTTGCATTGGATGGTAATGTGCAGGGCTTTGGGATTGCCCATCATTCCGGACGGGATCTCGTCATCAGAGAAAGAGATGAAGTTTATCCGCCTGAATATTTGCAACCAGTCGGTCTATTTTTTCCATGGTACATCTTTCGGTACGAAGGTCTGATTCAAGATTTTCAACAAGGCGTTTCGATGTGCCTCAGAGCTAATAGTAAAGCTAGGATTGAGATACGAGCTGGCAATTTGTGTAATTGTTCAACAATGCTATATTCGCTATGTTTCAAGAATTTTAAAAATCTACAGCATCATCTCGGTTACAGGCTCATTAATGTTGGCTCATCATTTTTCAATAATATCTCAACCCTTTTCCTTTATCAACGATCGTTCTTTTCTCGGGTTCATGGTCTGGTTGGGAAAATAACATCTCCCACTTCTGGTGAAATGGCCTACCTCGTCCACTTTCCTTAGCAGCCTGAACTCTCAACATTCTTTAATTGGCATCATACCTCCAAGGGACCTGCTTGTTGTCCTTATAAGGAAAGGACGACGGAGGCGTGATCACTATTTTAGGGATTAACCTTTCCATAGTCTGGGCTTCGGTGTGATGACTAAAGGGCAGTTGGTATTGTAAACTCCTTAGATGTGTCTTCAGAAGCGCAAATCTCAATCTCTTTCTTTTCTTGCTTTATGGTAAAATTCCAATATTTACTATCCATCAGCCTTTGAACCAAAGCCTTAAACTCATCACAACTTTGAATGACTGATCTCGCAACGGTGGTAGGGGCAAGCATGCTTATTTTCGTTAGCATTAAAGGTCAACCAGCCTATTTTGACCATTTGCCCCCATACCAATGCATGGGTGACTCACTTCTTTGACTTTGGTAATGATTTCGTTCCCTTTTTCTTCAATAACAGCATTAACCCCTGTCCCTGCATGGTTCGGCAGTGGGTTCTGAGCCCATTGGGCTGCTCGCTGTCACCAAAAATTGATGACATTTCTTTGTCTTAATCTCTGCACCAACTTTTAAAGGCCAGACAGTTTTCAATTGAATGCCCGATGCCCCTGCATGATACTCACATTGAGCATTGATGTCAAACCATTTTGGGTAAGGAGGCTGTATTGGAGAAGTGTGGTAAGGTGACACCACATGTTGTCATACAGGACTGGAATAGTCTTATAGGTCATGGGGATAGGGTCAAATTGAACCCTTTCCCTTTCCTGTCTTGGTTCTTTCGCCCTTGCTGGACAGGATTTAGTGCTGACGATACAGTGGGTGGTCGAGATATGTAATGTTATTAGAATCATATTCTTCACATTACTGACCTCATTATCCTTCCTTCTTATGGAGGCTTTCGGCTAGATTCCCCGTCTAGTTTCCCGCTTTGATCGCCATCTCAAATCATTCTCCTGCATTAACTATACGCAAATTCTGGACGAATTTCCAATAAGATGTCCAAAGAAAGGGGCCCTCAGAGTATTTACAAAGAACATATTAGTTTCCTCCTCTAATGGTGGATGAACTTGCACAGCCACATCTCTCCACCTTTGGGCATACTGCCTGAAGCTCTCGTTAGATCTTTCCATACTCTGTAAACAGAATCGGTTTGGCCTACATCTTTTATATGCTTATATTGCTCTAGAAAAGCCTTAGCTAAATCCTTCCAGGATTTAATATTAGCCCGACTTAGCTGATTGTACCAACGAATTGCTGATCCTGCCAGGCTTTCTTGAAAACAATGAATTAAACTGATCGTTTCACATAGCCTGTCATTTTTCTGCAAACATGGTAACGTGTGCAGAAGGACAACTGGTGCCACAATTTCTCGAAAACTGGAACTTTGAACTTCGGCGGCAACACTAAATCAGGGACCAGACTTAGCTCTCTGGCGTCAATTCCATATAGGCTAGCATCTTCTTTCATAGCTCGGAATTCATGCTTCATTTGTTCCCTTCTTTCTTAATCTCCTTATCCTGTTTTTTGTCTTCCTCATCCAGATCAGGGACATCTTCAATTGGTGCGGGTTTGTAGAAGAGCCAGGTAGGTTTACTTGTATTTTTTTGGTTGGATGGTTGTGGTTTGTTGTGCATGGAAATGCGGTGGTGTGAAACCAGGGGGATATAATGGTTCTTCGGCAGTATGACGGATAACTGGAGTCTCTTCTCGGATTATACTATTTCCTTGTAGCAAACTAATCAACTTTGCCATCATGTCGTCTTGAGCCTTCATCATCTGTTCGCGCATATCCTCTTGCGCTTTCTTTAAATTCTCTTGCATTTCAGCTTGAGTTTTTTCAATTTGTGCGATCTTGTCATCCATTTTCTTGGTTGATTGACGAGTACCGTATGGGTGTGAGGTGTATGCCAGAATAACTACAAATGATTGGAAATTGTATTTTATTATTTGGTGAATTTTAATGAATGAATTGTTATAATGTAATCATTAAGATTTTAAAAATTTAGAAAAAAAAACATATGAAAATGCTAATGCAAATGCAACCCGATATTGATTCCAAAATAACTTAGTTTATATAAAAGTACTCAACAACACACAACGTCTAAGCACTTAGGTAAAGAGATTATATCGACATGATTACTAAACATAGAATCTTGCCCTATTCCCTAATCTCTCGAGCTCTATCATCAATCCCATGATGCGGCGTTCTTCCTCTGATTCTGGAATCACAAAAACTCTTAAAGCTGTCGCTTCTTCAGATAATTCATAAACTTGGCGAGCTACATCGCGAGCCTGATCCACTGCTCTCTCCATTGCTTCATGTTGCATTTGAATGGTGTCCTGAGCCTGTCGTAGAGCAATTCCAAGCTCTGGATTAGTTAATGGTCGGCTCTCTTCTAGCTGTTGGATTCGCTGATGAGATCTATGCACTATGACTTCTAACTCAGTAATCTTGGCTTTTAAGGCCTCGTTTTCTTGCATGGTTACCTCTTGTGCGGATGAGTGGATTAACCCTGCTCTTTCTAGCTCAACTATCTTCTTCTTTAACATCTCATTTTCTTTTTGAAGACTGTTGTAAGGGTTCCGAAAAGTCTCATCGATGCTAAGCAGCTGTGCTTCGAGTTGTTCAATCTGTGCTCGCCTTTGTGCTAATTCTTTGTTAGTCTCATCTCTTTGCTCTCTCAGTTTCCGAGCGTGTTGTATGGATTGTTTCTTTTCTTCTTGGCCTCTTCTTGCGCTTCTTTCTACCCTATCGAGTTTTATCTTTAGGGTCTTGGCAGTATGATGTAGATCTTGGGCTCTCATATTCCTCTCTAAGGCCCGAAAATCTTGGTTTAGCGCATCAAAATTCTCCTGGACCTTTTCTTTCTCTTGGCCAATTGTTTTATCACTCCGTCCTTCTTAATCATTTCAAGTTCCCATATTGTTTTCTCCTCCGAAAAGCTTCTCTGTTCTTTTTCTCTCTTCAAATTCATCAGTCGCATTTCCTCTTTTAACAACTCTGTTTCTGTTGGGAGCCTCCTCAATCGCTCCTCCATAGTCAACTGGTCCTCTAAATTTGGCTTAGGTGTGTTGTTGTTAATTCTCTGCGACCTCCAAACCTCATAGGCCGGCGTGAATACAGGCTCTATCATCTTGAAGCTCATGCATTGAGGCTTCTGCCAAGCCGCGTAGATCTTTGAAATCCGCTCTCGGTAACCCGGAGTAGAGAAAGAAAACTCTGCCTCTTTCAGGCCATGGGTAGCTGGTACGAACTGTCGGGTACCAAACTGTCTGAGTACAATTAGCGGAGTATACCCGATAGCTCCCCATAATCCGTGTAGCATTATAAAACTATCATTACCGCACCTAAAAAGTATGTCCTCTTTGGGTAACCAATAAGCCTTCCATACTATCTCAGTATCTTTCATGTTACGGAGAGCTTCAACCCAGTCTTTCCTCTTGCGATGCTCTGGGATTTGGCATTTGTCGAGGAAATCCACTAGAGGTGAAAAATTTGATTGATGTCTCCGAGCCCAGCCTTTCTCGACTATCCAGGAGTGGCTCCACCACCAAACTAGTAATAGTGAAACACATCCGATGAATTGACCTCCCCCTAATCGTCTACACTGGTTCAGTGACAAGAATGTTTCTGCAAGGATGGCTGGTGCAGGATTCTTCTAGCGACAGCTTCGACGAAATCGATTAAGGTGATGTCGAAGTGATCCTCATTCCTGGGGAAAATTACCAAACCATATACTGCAAGTGCGAAGTGATCTCTTCTTCTTTCGACGGAGTTTGCTCGTAAATTAAACTCTTCAGCTGAGCCCAGGAGATCCCTTCATCACGAATGTACTCTTCAACCCACTCCTTGGTCTTTCCCGTCAACGTGATCATCTTGGCTATGAACCCTTTAGGTCGAATTGCCTTGGTGTAAATGGAATGTCTTCTAATATTCGGAATGTTCAGCAAAGTCGTATACTCCTCTAAGGTAGGGGTCATGTCTACTTTACCGAAAGTAAAACATCTGTAAGCTGGATTCCAACATTCGGCAAGGGCTCGAATCACCACTGAATTTATTGGTACTCTCAGCAGCTCTACGATGTCGCCGTATATCCCTCTGAACAATGTCTTCTCATTATCATCCCAGGTGGACCAAATTCTTGATAACTCAACCCAATGTGCCTGCCTGACTCGAATGATTACCTTTTCTGGAAAAACTGTATCTTCGGTAGTGGCAAGGCTGTCCCCGAACCGTGTTTGTTTGTATTCAGACCAGGTCTGAACACTGATTGCATTCTCAATCCCATCGGAAGACATTGTTGCCTTAAGCTTTTTTATAATAACTAGGTAATCTGGGAATCAATACCGTTTATTAAATGATGTGATATGATAATGATACATGCAATCAAGAAACAAAGCAATAAGTTAGTGATATTAGAATAATTAAAAAAAATCAAAGAATAATTAGTAAAAATTTAAAGTATCGAATGCAAAATAATCAAAGAAAATAAAAAATCCTAACATCATGCGATCTAATTCTTCTAAGTTATGGCTTTAACGAGGTAGGCTTACTAAATTCTTTATATGAGGTTGGGTTCTAACAAAAGGTTCCTAAGCCATCTTTACAACCTGCTAAGGTTGACCCCGATTCTGGCCCATTACAGACTTGCGAATCGGGTTCAGGTCAGGGGATCACACCACTAAAAGCGTACCTCGGAACTGATATCCGGATAGGCAACTTAGGGTGCTTTCCAGAGATACTTTGTCAGACCCACACAAGAAAGCCCAATGCTCCTCATGAGGTGTGACGTTTCTCTCTACTTAAGTATACTAGGATTGAGCTCAGGTTTAGAGCTATGATATGCAACAATTCTAAATATTTCACAGAAATGTAAGCATTAATCAGAGAGAAAATCTTTTTTTTGTTTTTTTTTTTTTTTTGAAATAACCTAATGAATCGTAAATTAAACAAGATTGAACTCATAATTTCCAAATAATAAATATAGGGTAACCAACTCGTGGCTCGACTCTCAATTTGTTTAAAGAAACAAAAGTCCCCAGCGGAGTCGCCAAGCTGTCGTAACCGTTTTTCGCCCGAAGGGAAAAGACCGATATCGACTCGGGGGTTTTCTCTTTGAAATGATTTTCAAAATGTGAGGAGTCGCCACCAATCATTTAAGGTGCGATTGGAACACCGTAAAAACAGGGTGATTTTAATAAAACATTTTATTTTAATAAAATACCGAGTTTTGGGGTCTGTGAAAAATCCAGAAATCAGGTTCGGGAGTCAGTTACGCGTGGGGAAGGATTAGCACCCCCACAAGCGCCCAAAATTGGTACCTAATTGATTACCCTATATTTAAAATCAGAAATTTTGAATTCGATCTTTATTTAATTTAAAAATTATTAAGGATGCAAAGTTGAAAAGGGTATTGTTTATCGAGACCAATAGCATTCACCCCCGAGCGTAAATGCGGGAGATCAACTATTTTGTCTAATAACCGAACATTGCCTCATTTTTAGAAAACATGATGTGGTTTTAAAAAAAAGATGTTGACTTATTTGGGAAATTACCAGTAGTCACCCCCCTGAGCACGATCGCGGAGGATATACTATTAATTCCTTAATAAGTGAACAGTGCCTTAGATTTGTAAAAACAACGCAATCAAATAAAATTTTATTTGTCCTAATTAACTAAAAGTAAATCTAAGGCCTTTTTCTAACTTAAAATGTCAAATTATGAAAATTAAGGAACATAGGGGCTCAAATCTAAAATGTAAGTTCTAGTATTAATACTTAATGTTATATATTAAAATATATTAAATATTCACGTATTAGAAAGTTTCTCTTAATAATTTTAAAATGATCGAATATTACCCTTATTCAATTTATTTCAATTCGAGTCAAGCAATTCTTATGAGGATACCATGCGAGATTAATTAAGACTAAAATGAACTAAAATGCAAACAACATGCAAAAATTAAAATAGAACCTACACCGATGTGCACCCAAATTACATATTTACATACATAGCATGCATAAAAATAATAACATACAAAATATTTAATATAGTATATTACGCTTAGTAAGCAAGGATTAACAATATATCATATAGGTATAAATTGAAAATTCATAAATAGTAATATAAGAAACTTTCTATATTTTCATATCTATTTATAAATATATATTATCAACTTAGGATAAAAAAATAATTATATTACATCTAGAAAATTCAAAATACACATACATATATGTGTATATATATATATTACAAGATATTTATTATATAATAAGTAACATATCAAAATAAGGTAAACTATACTACAATATATACATATAATATATAGCATATAAAATTTATGATATAAAAATTTTAAACATTTACGGCAGTAATGTAATCAAATTAAGAATCAAGTAATATGAACACAATAAAGAATATTCTCACCAAATGCTTAAATTCAAATAATTAAACACGGTAATGAAAGCTAATAAAAAGGAAAAGCCTTGGTCAAAAAGTGGTAAAACATTATCTATAACTAAAATTAAGGAAAATTAAAATGTTCATGAATATTATCAAATACAATAATTTACAAAAATGCAAATAAACCAAAAGGAAAGCAAGTAAAAAAAAACCATGCATTTAAACAAAATTAAAATCAACCGAAAATAAAAGGGCAAGTAAAAATATATTAAAGGAAATAACACGGAATTGAGATAAGATAATAAAAAATACGGGGACTAAAATGGAAGCATTCAGAATCACATGTCAAAATTGAAATAAACAAAAGTAAATGGCTCACGGTGACTATAACGAGCACGCGAAAAAATAGAGGACAAAAGTTAAAAGCATAACAGTTTTAATCAAGGACTAATATATAAAAACTCCAAGAATAAAGACTTTCTTGAGCTATTTACCCATACACCCATAAGGATGAAACACTAACTCCTAAAAACTACGTAGTTTTGGGGATCCCATATATCTATATATATACTATTATAACACTAAACCTAATTCCCCATTCTTTCTATAATATGCGGCAGCCTCTCCTTCTTCCCCATTTCAATTTTTTTTTTGTTTCTTTATTTCCATGTAAATCCAACCGGTGGCCATGAACAACCATGGCCACTACCCTATGCTGCCCCAACGAGGGTTCGTTCTCCTTCGAAACAATCGAAATATCGACCCTAAAACTTTATTTTCTCTAAATCAAACTTTTAAACCTTCCAAACCCCTCCAAACCGCAACCTAATAATAAAGAATGTATCTCGAACGCTCCGACGAAGCTTGGTCGTTGGTGAGAGCCTTAAATCCGAGATGAGTTTTTTTTTCTTAATTTTTTCTATCGTTTTTTTGAATATTTTTTTATTTATTTTCTTTAGAAATTTACAGTAAAAAAATATAAACAAATAAAACTACAAAAATACCTTTAACTTTGATCTTTTATTGCTTTGTTTTCTCTTCTTAAAAATACAGAAAAACTGAACCCCCGATTGCTTCTGTGTTGGTGATTTTTCCCCTGTTACATATATAAGCCTCTGAGAAAATGAAAATTCCCCCAAACTATTTTTCTTCTGACCAAGCCCCCTACTGTTCTTTCTATCGAAAAATCGAGAGCCCTCCCTTCTGTTCGAATGGGTTCCATGCTTTTATGGTTACTGTGTAGTGTATTTTCCACTGATTGTCGAGTAATGGAGGATTAGGTTCTTTATTTTTTATTGTTTTAGTGGGTGGCTGAATTGGTGCTGATTTGGTGCTAATTTGCAGATGAGTGGAGGTTGCATTAGCACATTGGTGGTATTTGGCGTGGAGAAAAGCATGGGTACATGGTGGGAATAATAAAAGATGATATTTAATTAGGGGTGGTGGAGATAATGCTTGTAGTGGAGCATGGTGGAAAAATGAGGTGTCTACACATGCATCGATGCATCAGGCTATTTTTCAAACATCGAATGCATTTCATGCATCGATGCACACTTGGTGCACCGATGCATCAAGTGTTCCAACGGTCAAAATATTTGAATTTTACACGAATGCACCGATGCATACTTAATCATGCATCGATGCATGAGACGCTCCACCTAGAAAAATTAATTGTTTTCACACTTAACCGGCTCTATTATCCCCACTAATTATCACCAACGTTCAGAATTGATTCAAGGGGTATTTAAACAAGTTCTGGAGCCATTGATCAACAACAAGAAACATCAATCAACTAGAATCAAGAGAGAATCAAAGAGAAAGCATCAAACCTCAAGTTTGAGTATTTCAAGCCTATTTTTCATCCAATATTCATTTGCTTTCAAGAACACTTTTGTACTCAATTGTATTTATCCTTGAGTGTTCTTTTCTTTGTTCTAGAATTGTGCAAACATCTTACCTTGTGAGGTTTTCTTGTAAGTTTGCAAATTTGTAATCTTCTCTTTGGGAAAAAGAGTGCTCTCAAGAGTTGGGGTATACTCTTGAGGGATTTTGTAAGGTTATCTCTTTGGCCTCAAAAGAAAGAACAAATTAGTGAATTTGTTGGAAAATCCTTAGTGTGGATAGCTAAGGTAGTGGACGTAGACTTTTTTTGAGAAAGTCGAACCACTGTAAATCGCTGTGCAATTACTTTAAATTTTCTGCAAAAGCTTCCACGAAATTTTTAATTGCCAATTCACCCCCCTCTTGGCGGATTCCGTAGATCGATTAACTCAACAAAGTATCTTATCTAAGAGAGTACAACTATGTCAAGGATGGTGAAATTATAGGTGATCCATCAAAAGGGGTAACAACTCGATCTTCTCTTAGAAATATTTGTAATTATGTTGCATTTATCTCATGCATAGAGCCTAAGAATATTAAAGAAGCATTAAATGATGAACATTGGATTATGGCTATGCAAGAAGAGTTAAATCAATTTGAGAGAAGTAAAGTATAGACATTAGTTGAAAGGCCTAGTAATAAATCTACTGTAGGTACTATATGGGTATTTAGGAATAAGCTTGATGAGAGTGGTAATATAGTGAGAAACATGGCTAGACTTGTTGTTCAAGGGTATACTCAAGAACAGGGCATAGACTATGATGAAACATATGCTCCCGTAGCTAGGATGGAAGCAATTAGAATGTTATTAGCATTTGCATGCTTTCATGAATTTAAATTATATCAAATGGATGTTAAAAGTGCATTTTTAAATGGTTTTATAAAGGAAGAAGTGTATGTGGAACAACCTCCAGGTTTTGAAGATTCAAAATTTCCGGACCATGTTCTTAAATTGACAAGAGCTCTTTATGGTTTAAAACAAGCTCCTAGAGCTTGATATGAAAGATTGTCAAAT